TTCCCCCCCCCCCAACAAAAAGGCTTGGGTGGGACCTACCGGGCAGGGCAGGTCTCTCTCAGCTGCCTGGTGATGACGCCCTCCTCAAAGCAGAGATCCACCATCCGCTCCAGGATGCTGTGGGCCAGCGGAACATCCAGACTGAGGTCTCCGAGTTCATCGTAGACCCGCTGGAAGCCCTGAGACAGACAAGAGAGAGGGGAAGGGAGAGAGGGGCTTGCTGCAGGCAGGGTCTCGGGAGCCACCGCCTTTTTTATGGCACTGTGGGTGACACAAAGGTTTGGGTGGCACGTGAGGCTACTGGAGCCTCTCCGGGTCTTACCCGGTTCATCTGATCCAGGGTCACTAGCCCCGTCTGCCACAGCACTTTCAGCAGCTTCACCATCATGGCCACGGCCGTATCTCCCGAAGACTCCATCACCATCACCACAGCCTGGCAGGAACACGGGGGGAGAACTGCCATGAGCGCAGAGCCAGAGCAGGCAAGGCAGGGATTGCCGAGCATCAGCCCAGAGGCCGGCAGGTAAGTTTGGCAAAGCAGGCCCTGGTAGGCACCAGCACGCCAAGGGGCCAAGGCTCCCTGGTCATAGTCTGCTCCCGCCCCGCCAGCTCCAGAACAGGACAGCTCCTGCCCCCCTTCTTTACCTCGTAGACAAGCTCATGGTGGAAGTGGGGCACCTCGAGTTGGCGCAGGCAGTGTTCAGCCTCAGACACCTCTCCAGAGAGCAGGTATTCACGCAGCAGGAGGTTCATCTGGGGAAGGGGAATTAGGGGCTGCACTCCAGCAAGGCCTCGGGTGCAGCTTCTCAAGACCTTTTGGCAGGCAGAAGAGCCCTGCGCCAGACCCCAGCCTGGATGGGTTCCTGCTTCAGCAACCAACTGCTGTAATCCCCCAAGCCCCTCCTCCCCCCCCAGCCTCTTTATAGTTCCTGTTTCTCCTCCCCTCCCCCTACTTCACAGCACTGCACACATGGCCCAGTCCCTCCTGTGGTCCTCAAGGCCCCTCTGGCTGGCCCCCCTCCTTTATTCTATGCATCTGAGCACCCCTTCCTAGGCAGGGAGCTGCTCTTTGCTTCACCACTGCATTTTAATAAGTCCCATAAACTGGGTTTGCCACTTGCCAGTTTAGCTATTTTCAGTTCCAAGCTTGAATACATTAGCTAAGAAGAACAGTTCCTGGAATCGGTTTCTTATTCTCCTGCAGCCTTGCAACTTCGCTGCCTTTGCTTCCTGAGGCTTGCAGCACTTGGGATGGCTGGCTTTCCTTGAGCAAACCCCGGCATGGAGCAGGCCTCAGCCTCCCTCCCTCCCTCCCTTCCCTCCGCATGCCTGGCCCCAAAGACATTCCCGTCTCGACCCCCGTGCCTTTGGCAGAAGGCTAAGCATCCAAGGGCCACCCAACAACCGCCAGAGGGGCAGTCAAGGGCAGACCGAAAGGCCCCCCTTGCGGCTCTTCACCTCCTTGATCAGATGCTTGACTGGCCTCTGGCCGCCCCCCACGCCCCACACATTGTCCAACCGATTGACGTCCCGCTTGATGCGCAGGAGGACGGCAGCACGGTCCAGGGCAGTCCTGCAGGGAAAGAAAAGCGCGTCCAGCAACCGAGCCGGCGGCAGGCGGTCAGCCGGCTTGTGTGTTGCGTCTCTCTCACACGCTCCCCATTAGTGCAGAGGCCGTCCTCCCTCCACCAGGCTGGACCTGTCAATCTCAGTGAGTGCCCTGAGGGCGTGGCACGCCTGAGGCCGGCCCTCTCACCGTGCGTGCTCACAGTCGACCCGCCCCTTGTAGCGCTCGAGGAAGTTGAGGGGAAGCGCGTGGTCAGCCACAGCGCGGGCGATGAACTGACCCAGCATCTGCACAGGCAAGACAAGGGCCGCAAGGTCAGGGGCCACGGTGACTGGAAGAGGAAAGCCCCCCTCCCCCTTCCTGGGCAGAACTGACCTGCGGCGCCTCAGGTGTGTCGAGAATGAGGTCGGGGAGGTCATGCAGCATCCCGTCAAAAGCAGCCGCGATGTCCTCGGCACTCAGCACCTTCCCCACCAAGTCCGAGAGTAGGCGGGAGGTCAGCTCCCGATGGCTGGCCTTCCCCTCCAGAGAGAGCACCACGGCAAGCGAGGACACGGCTGCCTTGTGGCCCCCCAAGTTCAGATCCCGAAGCAGCTCCTGACAAAGGAGGGAAGAGGGGCAGTCGAGGCACGGCCTAGCCAGGGCCCCGGAGCCCGTCAAGCAGCAGAGACGCTGTGTTTACCTGCCTACGTAAGGGGTTTAAATCGGCTCACAGGAGCTGCACTTTTAATAAAAGCGAGATTATCTTCAAAGATAATCACGATTTAAAAGGCCTCACCAGTATAATGCAGAGGAAATTTCTCTGAAAGGTCAAAATACACAGCAGGTCAAAGTGCTCCAGAGAAGCCGACGCAATCAAAAGAAACCATCCATTTTAAAACTCTTATCTTAAACTTTCCAACGTATAAAAGAACTTGGCTTTTAAAAAGAAACCAGTCAGCTTTGGCGTCAGCACGAGAGACCCTAAGAACAGCCCTCCACGGAGCTCTCTGACCCAGAGGATGGGAGGCGCTGCTTCCGTCGGCTCTGCTGCTGGGACCCCATCTGGCGCTCCCCTTGGCCAGGAATGCCACCCTGGGCGGTTCCTGGCTTCCCTCTCAAGCAGACTTCCAAGGTGGCCGGACACAAGCGAGGCTAAACCAGGGGCAGGCTTGGAGGAAAATCTGAAGGGACATGGCAGACCTCGAACGCAGCACCCTGGTCCAGCCCAAAAGAGCCTCTGAAGTTCTCGCCCGCCCCCACCCTCCCCCTTTCACCAAGGCAGCCTCTTTCCCTTTTTTCCTTTTGACATCTCAGCAGGCTTTCCAACTGAATCGCCTGCATCCGGTGGCTGACCAAGCGATCTGAACTAGAGACAAGCACAGCAATTAGAGTCTCTGCTGAGTACACAACCCAGCCCCTCCCCCAGGCTCCGTGCCTGCAGGTGGTCCAGAGGCTCTCTCTTGCAAGGGAGGGGGGGTCCCTGCCTGAGAGACCCTGGGGGATGCTGCTCCTGCTCAGACTCACCACCACTTCCAGGGTGTCTCCGTGCTCGAAATACTCCAGCACCATCGGCTGCACCGTCTTCTCCAGCTCCTTTTCCTCTAGCTCAGGCACCACCGTGGCATAGACGGTCTTTCCCTGAGAAAGCCCAGCAGTCGTTAAAGCTCCCCTTCCTGGGCCTCCTGCCGAGCCTCCCCTTGGCCAGAGAGCAGCGGCCCACTCCTCAGACCGGGCCCTGCAAGAGCCACGGGACCCTCTGGGCCACCTCGACTGCCCAAGTCTCTCGCAGGTTGGGCCTCTGAGAGGAGAGGCCGGGAGCGCCAGCCCTACCCAGTAAGTAAGAGGCGAGCAGTGGCTCAGCTCTCCTGAGTAAATGACACCCACAATGCAGGTCACGAGAAGGGGGACTCAGGAAGGAGGACGAAGGGGGGGGTGAAGCCCGCCTGGGCATCGGGGCCTCTTGTTCCTTTCCCCCTCTCAGCCGTGACTTCCAAGCGCTGCCAGGGCAGAGCTCAGCCCGGGAGGCTCCCACGCCTTCCACCCAGCCCCAGGCGGTACCTGTGCAGCCTCGTCGTAGTTGGGGTCCCGGGCATCCGGCTCCTGGTAGCTGTAGACCACCCCGGGCGCTCCCCAGACGCCTTTGCCCCCTGCCCCACCTGGAAAGAGGGAGGGCTGTCAGGCCTGGCCCCCCCCCGGGCAGCACCGCCCCAGCCCCGCGGCGGCCCCGGCATTACCTTTCTTGGGCAGGCCGCGGCCCTTCCCCATGCGGGACTTGCGGTCGTGGTTCTTGCCCTTCGGGCTGCTGGGCTCCGGCTCCGGCTCGCCCTTCTCCGGGACGGCTTCCCGATGGGAATCGCGAGAGGAGGTCCGCCGCAAGCGCCGCTTCGCCTTGGCCTTCAGCCGGGCCTCGTGCAGCGCCTTCTCCTGCAGGCTCCACGGCGCCGCCTCCCCGCCGCCGCCCTCCAGCTCCTCGCCCAGCGCGTCTTCGTCCTCCTCCTCCTCCTCGCCGCCCGCCCCGTCCGGGGCCTCCTGCTGCGGGGGGGGAGAGGGGAGGGGGTCAGGCCGCGGGGAAGCCGCCCGGAGGGAAGGGGGGGCTCCCCGCCCAGAGAGGAATCGGGGCCTCCGGGGCTGCCCCTGGCGGGACGGAGCGGGACGGGGGCGGCAGCCNGCCTCTCTGCCAGCCGTGGGCAGCGCCAAGCAGAAGCAGCTCCCCATTAACCCTGGCAAAATCGGCTGCTCCCTCCTCAGCCCTCAACCCAGCCAGCCCCCCGCCTGCATCTGTGGGTGGCGAGGGGGCTTCAGGGGGTCCTGGGAACAGGAGGTTCTTTGGCTGCAGGGTGTCCAGCTGACTTCCCACAGTGCTTTGGAACCGGCTGCACAAGGCAGGGGCCAACCGCTCTGTGCCAGCCGGAGGCTGCGAGGGAAGCGCCCCTCCTCTGCCTTCCCAGCCCGGCTGCCCAGCAGGTCCAAAGAGGGCCCCTCTGCGGCAGGTCCAGCTGGCCTGAGGCTTCCTGAGATGCATCGCTGTGGGAGTGGGCGTGTGCAGAACAAGCCTCCCTCCTCCTCCTCCTGCTTCTACTGAACCACCCGCCTCCATCGGTCAGGCAGAAGTGCAGTTTCCCCCCCCCCCGGCTCCCTCCCGACAGAGCCCTCTTGCCCGCTGGACACGCTGCTTGGGGGGGGGTGTATGGTGGGTGTTCAGCAAAGGCTTCCAGGCTCCCCTGTTGACTGGCAGGTCTGGCTGGGTTGAAGGCATTGCTGGGGGGGGGGGTGCTGAAAGCTTCCAGTTATTGCTTGATTTGGCCTCCGTCTCCTTCACTGACAAAGCGCTTCCGGCCCCTGAGGAGAAAGAGGGGAGTCAGGGGCCTGTGCAGGGTGACCAGGATCTCCCCCATTTGATCCTCTCCTGCCTCAACCAGCTGCCTCTGGCGCCCTCAAGCGCGAGGAACAGCCCTTAAAGAGGAACACAACACTTTTGTGGGCACAAAACTTTTTTAAAACAGGCCAGGCAGCCGTTCCACAGATGGTTGGGGGGGGGAGGTCAGTCCCTCCCTGAAGCCAACATGGTTCCCCCCCCCCCAACAAAAAGGCTTGGGTGGGACCTACCGGGCAGGGCAGGTCTCTCTCAGCTGCCTGGTGATGACGCCCTCCTCAAAGCAGAGATCCACCATCCGCTCCAGGATGCTGTGGGCCAGCGGAACATCCAGACTGAGGTCTCCGAGTTCATCGTAGACCCGCTGGAAGCCCTGAGACAGACAAGAGAGAG